GGGGACTGCCCCAGGCCCCGCCTCCTCTCCCGTCTGCGGCGGCGATTGGCCCGTGTGTCCTGTTGCTATGACAGCTCCCGAAGGTTGCCCGTGGCTCCTCCACGAGCCTTCCGGTTCGTCCTCCCGCTCTAGGAGGGAGGCGGGGCTGGACGCGTCTCTATGGCGACCGGGACGCGGCGGTGCGCGGCGGTGCTCGCGGCTGGTACTCACCGAGGAGACGCGCCGGCAGCGGCGGGGATCGAGGCTGAGACGAGGCCATGTCGGACATAGGCTCGGAGGAGTTGGAGGAGGAGGGAGAAACTGATTTTGGGGTGAGAGCTCCGGGCGAGGGAGGGGCTTCCCGGGGTGCGCGGTGGCGGGAGGACCCCAGGAGGCCGGGTTCGCGTAATAGGGAGGCCTGGAGACCAATTACAGCCGGGAACGGAGACCGCGCGGGCCCAGCGGGTGCTGGCCCGGGAGGCCGGTGGGAAAGGTGACACGCCATCTGCTGGCTGCCTCCCACCCATCCCAGCGAAGGCGGAGATTTCCAAGTGGAAGCCCCAAGCCGCCGCCTCCCCGCTGCTGCCCTCCGCCCGGGCAGCTTTCTGGGATGGCTGGGTGGTACGGTTGGGTCTCGAATAAGCATTTCCCCAGTGGAGCCAGGCCCCTCGGGATTAGGGCGGCTGGCCGAAAGGCGCTTCCTGGCAGCCTCCAGGAGATGCTGAGGTGATCTCAGGCTCAGCGAAGGTTTTCCGAAGACAACACCATGTAGCCTGTAATCACGTGTGCTTTCTTCACTCTTACGGGAACTGAGCAGAGTCTTTGGAAGTTTTCCTTGGTTCAGGCAGCAGAGAGGAGGTAAGGGACGTGCAACCAGTTAGGTGAACTGGCCTCCGTGGGAGCACATGTGGACTGTCCACTGATGAGCCTCACTGAGCCAGAGGGTGAGCATTTCCTAGCCTCAGCCTCTGTGTGTGTGCAGAGTTCAGGGCTAGATAGTTTCAAGGTAACAAAAAAATCTAGCACCTCTGCTTGTCTGTAACTAGCTCTATACATCCGTCTCCCAGCCCCTCTATGGCCTGGAGCCACCTGGCCGGAAGGGGGAGCCGCATACCCCCCACAGCAGCTAGTGTTGAAAACCAGGAATCCCCTGTGCGATGAGGATGAGTCCCGGGCATCAGTGGACATCACCCATGCTTGGCAGCCTCCTCTTTCCTCTCTGTTTCCCGCCCCCCTCCTGGTTTCTCCCAGGAGCACTTAAAAAAAAAAAAAGCCACTTGCTCAGGGTCTGTTTCTGAGGGAACCCAACCTACAACACCTGCCCAATCAGCTTTGTAGACTCTTTCCTCAAATGTCCCCACTGGATTTGTAACTTTGTAGTGCCCAGACATGGTTACCTACTTCACCTGTAAACTGGGCCGAGGATTGAGAGGATTCGATGCAATACTATTTATAAAGTGCTTAGCACATGCTTGGCACTTAAAATGTGGCAGCTGCGACTATGCTGACTTTTTTTGTCATTGCCAGGAATATGAAGGGGACCGAAATGAGGCAGGTGAGAGGCATGGCCACGGGAAGGCCAGACTGCCCAACGGGGACACGTATGAGGGGAGCTATGAACACGGTAAACGACACGGCCAGGTCAGAATCGGTGACTTGAGTGGGTAGGTTTCTGTATTTAATACTCTGTTAGTGAGTGTTTAATTCAGGAATGATGTGAATCCTATAATCAATGTGTTTCAGGGGACCTACAGATTTAAAAGTGGTGCTCGCTACATTGGAGAATACATTAAAAATAAAAAGCATGGGCAAGGCACTTTTATATACCCAGATGGATCAAGATATGAAGGTAAAATGTTCTCACAAAGCAGGTTTTTGTGCTGCAGAGGTCTTCTTTTGGGATTAAACTTGTCTGTGAAGACTGAGATAAATGAGAAAGTTTAAAGTTCTCCAGATTAGTCAGCCATTTAGCAAATGCAAACCGTGTTCCTGTGTTTACAGGGTTGATGCAGAAACCAGCAAGCCTCGTAATTATGGGAAATATGACTGTCCCTGTGACCAGCACATTCTCTCTGTGAGCCTGTGTACTGAGGAGCAAATGCAAGGGAGGCTGCTGGGCGAGCACAAACCTTGCACTCAAGACATTAGCTGCTCTGTAGCATTGTCTCTTTGAGGCTGTTTTTGCTGTTTCCGTTTCTGGTAGATCCCTCTTTTTTTTTTTTTTTTTTTTGGGTTAATTCTTACCCGAGGATATTTTTTCCATTGATTTTTAGAGAGAGTGGAAGGTGAGGGGGTGGGGTGAAGAGAAACAGCAATGTGAGAGGGACACATCGATTGGTTGCTTCCTGAATGAGTCCTGGCCAGGGCCAGGGATTGAATGTGCCCTTGTCAGGGAATCAAACCCGTGACCCTTCAGTCCTGGGGTCGATGCTCTAACCGCTTAGCACACCCACCAGGGCTAGATTCCTCTTCTGATGAACACGCTGTTCGTTAGACNTTTTTTTTTTTTTTTTTTTTGGTTAATTCTTACCCGAGGATATTTTTTCCATTGATTTTTAGAGAGAGTGGAAGGTGAGGGGGTGGGGTGAAGAGAAACAGCAATGTGAGAGGGACACATCGATTGGTTGCTTCCTGAATGAGTCCTGGCCAGGGCCAGGGATTGAATGTGCCCTTGTCAGGGAATCAAACCCGTGACCCTTCAGTCCTGGGGTCGATGCTCTAACCGCTTAGCACACCCACCAGGGCTAGATTCCTCTTCTGATGAACACGCTGTTCGTTAGACCTGGTGGGGCCTTCACTGAGGGCTTCTTGTCAGAGAGGCATTCTGCCTTGTAAAACCGGTGTTCTTATCTCTGCCACAATTCTTCACATGCCAATGTGATGTCTCAGGAAGATTCTCATTCCCTTATTTCCAAGAACCCCACCACTGCCCCAGACACCATTGTCACCTGGTTTGCCTACAGTGTTGGTCTAATCAAGGGACGAAGGAAGTTCTGAGCCTGGGAAGAGACACAAGTGAGGAGTGGGCGTGAGCCTTCAGAAACTGTGCAAAATTCTGTGTTCTGGGCTTCTTTACTGGGGAGAAGTTGTCTGGTTTCATCAGATTTCCCAAAAATTCTGTGACTCTGGCCCTGGAACTGTGGTGACAGTAGGTGTGACCTTGTATAGGACACCTTATCCCTCCCTGCCTCAGCTTTCTCATCTGCAGTGAATTAACACACATGGAACACTCAGAATTGTGGCCGATGGATGGGAAGCACTCAGTAAATGTTGGCTGGGTGACCACATACCTGTGTGAGAGTATCACCTCTTAATGAAGGTGGCATCCTTAGAATGCAAGCTAGAGTTGCCAGTCTTGTTGCCAGAGAAAACCAGAACCTGGGAATTCTAAAAGAGGTTCTGCCAGATCTGAGGCCCAGCTGCAGAGTGTCAACCCTCTTTCTGTTAGATGTGGAATTTCTGTTTTGTTTCATGGATCTTAGAAGACTTGCTCCAGAGGAAACACCTGCTGTTTTGAAAAATCAACTTTAAACGGTTTAATTTAATTCTTTCCAAATCCTTAGGAGCCAAATCTCATTGTTGTCATTGTTTATTTCAATGTAGATGTTAATCTAGTTTGAACAACATATAAATATATATATAAAAGATACTCAGAAAAAAGGGTTAAAGGAATTGTTAATATGAAGGTTAGCTAGCATAGAATACTTATTTGGAAACAGTTGTACATTTTTGTTTCTCCATATGGTTCTGTAATGTGCAGGGTGCAGTTGCTACTCAGTTTCTTCTCTGAGGTCAGAAACTACAATGTTACTTTTATCTTGGTGAGTGGAACCATCTTCCAATCACAAAGTCAAAGTGGGCACATGGCAGAATCCTTCATAACTGTCTTGGCTGGCTGACTGCCATCAGAAGGGGCACAGATGGTTTTTGCAGGTGAGCGAGTGTGCTCATACTGCACCTGAAGCACAGGCCACATATGACTGGGGAGCCCAGGAATGGGCAGAAGCTGTAGTGCCCTGAGAGCAGGGAACTGGGGG